TATTCAGCAACTTGCCCAATTGGCAAGTTCTGTCTTCTCTTTGGCAACTGCATCCTTTCCTCAACCGCAATTAGCCACCTTCTACTTATCATTGCTTCTTTTTCTTAGTCTTCTTCTCCGGTGCATCCTCACCATTTTCAGCTACAAATCTCTATTTCTACAATTTTTAATACTCCGCTACACAACTATCAGCATCCGCAGCATCCTTCCTTCCATCATTCCCTTTTAGCCCTCAATTCAGCCTCAGTCTTTTGCCCTTTTTCTTCCTTGTTTTTTGGGATTACTTGCAGCACCATTGCTCACCTGTCTGTAGTAGCCAACCCATCACTTCAGCAGCAGCAATAGCAGTAGGTATGTAGCAGAGTTGCAGCTCCTGTTTTCCACATATTGTCCCTCTTTCTCTTCATCAACTTGCAGCAGCTACAACTTGCAGTGATGGCAAAGCAACTCCTTCATTGACAAGCAAGACTTTAGCTAAAGACTCCTCCTGATTGACAGCAGCAGTAGCCTCTGCAGTAGCAACTTGGCAGCAGAAGAGCTGCCAATTCTTCTCCTCAATTGAGTTTGCTGCTGCAGAATTCTTCCAATTGGGATCATCTGCCATCAATCCTCATCCTTCATTCAAGATTACTCTAATTCCTTCAGCTCTGATCAGTCCTCCAGCCCTTAATACATCACTGCCTATGAAATCTTAAGATGCATGTTAGTATAACTCTAAATTGACTTTTGATTCCTAGAATTGCCGTTGAGGAATGGAGAGTTATTTTTGCTTAAGAAAACAGAGGTTAAACAAATTTTACCAAGTGTGGCTTACTTATTGGTTGTTGTCTTTGACATGGCGTTGCCCTATTTTCACATACGAGCAACAATTTCTTTGCATTTACTTTTTGGTGATCATATATATTACTTTAATATATTTTGAGCGGCCACTCAATCAAAATATGGGGGAGAGGACTGCAAAAGATAAAAGAAATTATTATTGGATAACATGATTTCCCACCCTATGTATGAACAAAATAAAAAATATATGGCAGTGGTAAAAATCAAAAGGTTGTGGCAATGGGTATTTGATTTGATGGAGGATTGGGAGAAAATGTAAGACCACTACCAGAGATGCAAAAGGGATGAAGGAAATATAATAATAATACTCTATTTTTCTAATAATTAGTTTCTTTAGTACTTTTCCGAAACAGTAGCGTGGTAATAGTAGTATCACTATACACCTTCAAATTGTTACAAAAATAATAAAATATTTATTTTAGTTTTAGTGTCATCGCAAAATTATATAATAAAATTTCTTAAAACACGTTAATATCATAGTTGTAATCTTATTTCTCCTATTCCTACTCACATTTCTTTTTCAGCCATATTCACGACAGAGTCTATTTCACTTATCTCTAATGGTTCTGCCTCATATCCGCCCCTTTCTATGCCTCGGTGTAGTACTCAAAACAAACACAAATCAATCTAGGTGAAAGGCTATGTCCATTATATCAATATTTTTGCTCCTATAGAAGCCTTACCTTCCAAATCTAAATTTTCTCATCTACCCACTTTTTCATGTATTCGACATTCATGGTTTAGTCATTCTTCTGTTGATTTTTTTAGCTAATGTCTCTAAAATCCATGAATCTAGTACACATGAGAAAGCTTAATCTATTCTGGAATGGCAGGAAGCACAAAATGACCTCACTTCTTTACAAGATAATCACACATGGGATTTAGTCAATTTACCTAAGGGTAAAAATCAAATAGAACGTAAATAGGAGTGTAAAGTGACACTACTAGAAAGTAGCCTCTTTGAGACACTAAAAAATGTCATAATAAATAAGCTAATGAGACACTATTATCTATTATGGCATTTGTTAGAAGTGCCTTTAAATCTAATGTATCAATAGGTAAAGTGTAATTATAAGTGATTTAATAAGACATTTTTATGAGCCACAACAAGGGACCTATGATGGCATTTTGAAATGACCTGGCATATTATATTTGCCACACTTAGTCATTCAATTTATTTAAAAATAATAATTTTAAATTCCTCATAAAATTACCATGACAGTAACTATCCATATCCTGAAAAATATGAAAACGCATAAATTAAAAATGATTAAAATAATCTTCTCCACTGCTATTCATAATAAGAGTCGAGAACAAGGTGAGTTGAAGATCAAAATAACACTAATCTTGAGGATCGCAACCCTTATTTTACAACTAGTCTATTAATATACACTATTTCACAAACTAATCTCGAGGATTGGAAGTCTTTTTCATGCTATATAGGCCGTCGCCGTTCTTCATTTCAATGTCTCAATGTCAATCTTCTTAGAATGATATGGCATCTTGATCTTCCCCCTCTTGAATTAAAAGCTGTAAAGAAACTGAAGATGAATTATTTCAAAAGGGCCACATTAATTAAACTTAGCATGGAAAATAGAACAAAATAGAAAGGGTACTGAGTTTAGCCCTTTTACCATAAACAATTTCGTTCAATTATACAAATCATGGGGATAATCTTCAATCCCATAACCTAGTATAAATTAAAAAAGGTTAGAAGATTAGAAAAATAAAATAGGAATCCATTAAACTCAAAAAATGTTTTCACATAAACATTGAGTTCTACTCCATTGTCCTAAACATAAGGATTAGAAAAAAAAAGTCATGTTCACAATCATATGTAAGCATATAAGGGATAAATGATTTTACAATTACTCAACAAAAAGGAAAAAAAACTCTATAACTTTACAAATTCAACATGATAGTTAACAATAAAAAAACACGAATCAGGAATAAACAAAAGTATTAGGCTCAAAAGAGTGGAACAAGGAATCAAAAGCCTTATAAAGCATAGTCAGATCTAATAACATTGTTTAAAACCCGTGCTTGAAAATGAATACGGAATCTAATTTACCAAGGAATTTTTTTAAAAAAAACCGATTACAACTACCAATGATACAAATAAAGGCTTACAAGATCAAGAGAAGACTTGAAATTTTGGAGGGTGCGTGGAATTGAAAGGGAAATACAGATAAGATGTGGTTTGTTGAAGAAGACGAATATGGGAAACATGAGAAAGATGATCGTGGATTTTTTTTACTAATTGAATTCTTTTCCTTTTTGAAAAATATTAATGGAGGTTATAAGTTTTGAAGGAAGTTATGTTATGTGATGTTTACCCAAAAAAAGGGAAGTAATCCCATTAATTTACACTTATCATTTATCTTTATTTAAATAAAAGGAGTACAAAATAGTCCTTTTTATAAGCAATTACTAAGTGCCCTAAAGGAAACTTTTAACAACACTATTGCCAATGGTTTTAAGTAATAGAAAAAGTGTCCCCATAAACTCCTTAAAACGACACCCTTATACAAATGCCGTTACAGTTTTTCCTGCGAGTGTCACAATGAGGCTACTTTCTAGTAGTGTGATATAACTTACATATATTCATCAACCATGCTTTAATCCATCTTATGTTGATTTTTAGCTAATATTTTTAAAATCCATGAACCTTTAACAAATGATAAGAACAAATCCAAGGTTGGATGGGAATAAAGCACTGAAAACTAGCTTATTGCTTTAGAATATTATCAGACTTGGATTTAATCGATTTGCCTAAGGTAAAAAAAAAAAAACTAATAGGACCTAAATGGGGCTATAAAAGGACAGATGTTCCTGAGAGGTCTTTGAAATATCTTACATTGAATTTTTTTTTTCTCCCGTTGCAAAATTGGTCGCTGTTAGATTAAATCTAACACTTGCAGCAGTTAGACATTGGCCTATTCACCAATTGGACATAAATAATCCCTTCTTCCATGGATGACTCAATGAAATATTTTATGTCAAACCTTCCCCTGAATATGGCAAGGCTCTTCTCCAACAGGCATGCAAACTTAAGAGGTTTTTGTATGGGTTGAAACAAGGCTCTCGCCAGTGAAATATAGAAATTACTCAAAAATCACAGTCTTTTGGTTTTACAAAAAATGTGTATGGTTATATCTTGTTTGTTAAATCAGGTGGTAAAGATTTTTATTAACCTTTCAATTTTTGTCAATGATTTGTTGTTAAGGTCTTCTGAAACTAATATCTGATACTAGGTAGTTTCTTGATCATTCTTTTACTATGAAGGATTTTCCATATGCTCTATACTTTATAAATATCGCAAGGTCAAAATCTGGTATTTCTCATAACCAGAGGAAGTACATGTTGAATATTTCAAAAAGTATTGGTTTACTTGGCTACAAATCCATTTCTACACCTTTTCCAATGGGACTTCTTTTAGATGATGATACTAGCCCATTTTTAACTTATCCTAGTGTGTATAGGAGGTTAGTTTATCGTAGATTTTATAATAGGCGTTGTAGTTTTTCTCTCTCTAAAATTTTTTTCTCTCGCTTCTCTCTAAAAAACCCTAGTTTTGTCCGAATATTAGAATGGCGGCTCGAAGGCCGCTGGAGGATGGCTGGCCAAAACAGCCCTCCTTTGTGTAAATTCTTAATGTTTCCAAGCCAAATCCCCAGAGTATTATCCAACCAGTTGAAAAAACATCCATTGAAACTTTCACCAAATCTAATCCGACAATGGTGAAGGGTGAACCAGCCTTTTTGCTTTCAAAAGAGGAGGATGAGAAGCTAGCCGCCCCGTTTAAGTTTTGCTTAGCCGGAAATTTTTCCAAGGGAAGACCGAAGATGGAATATTTGTGGAATAAATTTAACACGATTGGCTACAAAGGTAGTTTCTCGCTTGGGATGATAGATCATAGACACATCTTGATCTATTTTGATTTGGAGGACTTCCGGAGGTGTTGGATAAAAGGACTATGATCCTTTGATCATCACATAATGAGGGTTCTCAAGTGGACTCCGCGTTTTAATACTGAAGAAGAGTCATCAATCATACCGGTATGGAAGTCATTTGAAGGATTACCGGTTCACAGATTTAATGAAGAGTATATCCGCAAGTTGTGAAGTATCATAGGTCAACCGCTCAAGATTGACGTCCCGATGTTGAATATGTCTCGACCCTCAATTGCTAGGGTTTCTGTAGAATTGGATCTTCTTCATGAGTTGCCGAGACAGATCTCGCTGGGGATTGAGGAGTATTCGTATTATCAACAAGTTACGTATGAAAATCTACCTGAATACTGTATGGATTGTCGCAAGATTGGACACTCTTCTCACAATTGTCAACATGGAAAAGCTAAGGCGTCGCCAGTGAAGGAGAAGGAACAGCCTGCGACTGTGAAGGAAAAAGAACATTCAGTGTCGCAACTTGCGACCAAGGCAGCCCACCTTGCGAAAAAAGCTTCTCAGCCTGCGAGTGAAAAAAAGAAAAGAAGGAAAAAAGATGATGACTGGACAGCAGAATAAGCCCCCATCTGTAAATCATGCAGGGAAGACGAAAGATACAAAGGATGCAGTTGCGGGGAAGGAAAATAATCATCACAAAGATTGGTCTACATCAAGTCTGACTGAGACTGAAAAGATGGATATTCTAACAGATATTGGGGATTCAAGTCCTTTAATACCACAAGATAAGCGTCTACTTTCTAAAGAAAGATTGAGCGCCATCTTGGAGAAGAGTTTGCAGGAAGAAAATTTGAAGAATACATGGGAAGAGGATGATATAGCCAACAATAATGTGAATGCGGAGAGGTAACTAGTTGAATATAAAAAACCAACGATTTTGATTCTACCTTTAAATTTGTCGTCTCGTTTTGATATTTTAGCAGATTTATCAGAGGACTAGCCCCATTCTATAGAAGAAGAACAGGAAAAAGTGGATGATAGAATGATCGATGAAATTGCAAGCGATTCTGAAACTGAACTTGCATATGTGGATTCAGGAGACGGAATTTCTTTTATAAGCCAATAAGATGTAACATGGGATGACGTGGATATGATGGAGATGCGAGACTGGTAGTCTTTGATGGAGAAGATCAGAAGAAAAAAAGAGGAAGGCCAAGGGGATCGACAAAAATTGCTCGCGTTCAGGGTACAGAAACTCGTCAATCAATGAGATTGCACGGTGACTCTCCAATTAAAATTTTCCAATGAGTAACATCTTAAATTGGAATGTTAGAGGTATAGGAAATAAAGCGTCAATCAGAAGGTTAAAACATCTGGTTAGATCGCATGATGTTTCTATAGTTTTGTTACAGAAGCCAATGCAACCGGTTTTGAAACTCGAAGAGTTGAACAATAAGTTGCATTCACTTCAGTTGCATCGTAAATAACTGGAAAAATTTGGGTGCTTGTGTCCAAGGACTGGGTAATATCCGAGATGGGGGGAACAGAACAAGTACTGCACCTGAAAGTAGAGCATCTTGGGTAAGCACATTCCTTCTTATTATGAGCAGTATATGCAAAATCCACCAAGCAGGAAAGAAGGGATTTATGGTCTGAATTAATGACTTTTAAACAAAAAAATGATGGAGAGCCTTGGCTTGTTGGGGGAGACTATAATGTCATCCGGAACTTAGAGGAATATGAAGGGTTCTCGCAGCAAGATATGAGGGCAATAGATGAGTTCAATGATCTAATCAACGACTGTACCCTACTAGAGCTTCCACCAGTTGACAATTTACATACATGGAAGGGCATGCGACAAAATGGACATGTTTTGAAAAGGCTGGATAGATTACTTTTCACTCAGGAGTGGTTGACATTGTTTCCAGTAGCTTTGGTTCATCATCTCAATCGATCAACCTCAGATCATGCACAATTATTGTTGCAATATAAGATGGAGATGGAAGCAAAACCAAGAATTTTCTGGTTCCAGAAAATGTGGCTACGAAGAAATAATTTTATGGAGGTTGTTACAGAGAATTAGGAGCAACCGATTGATCATCATGGCATGCTAGCTTTTTCTTTGAAGTTACAAAGTTTAAAGGCAAGAGTTAAGGAATGGAATAAGGTTGAATTTGGGGACGTTTTTCAAAATTTAAAAGAGGCTGAAGAGGATGTCCCTATTAAGGAATGGCAGTATGATCGATCAACCAGTGAAGATGATCGCTTGGCTTTGCATCAATCACAAACTCATCTTCTGAATAAGCTGAAGGAACAAGAAGACTTCCTACATCAAAAATCCAGAATAAAGTGGTTAAAAGAAGGAGACTTGAACACCTCGTTTTTTCATGCCTCTTTAAAAGAAAAGCATGCACAACTTGGAATTCATAAGATACGGAGAGCAAATGGTACATGGATTACTGAAAGGAAAGACATTGAGCAGGAAACAATCTCTTTCTTTCAAAATTTGCTCACAAAGGAGGACTCTCTGTAGCATGAAGAAGCATGTCATGGAATACTTCAAAACATTCCAGCGCTGGTGACACAAGAGGAGAACGAATCTTTGTTGAAAATGCTGACAATAGAGGAAATCAAGAATGTTGTATTCAGTTTAGACCCTTCGAGCTCTCCTAGGGTTGATGTATTTGGGGGAGACTTCTACCAAAACTGTTGGCCTATTATCAGACACGACCTTCAAGGTGCTTGTGAGGATTTTTTTGCTAGAACTCCACTGCCGCGAGCAATTGGAAGCACTATCATGACCTTGATTCCAAAAAAAGCAACGGCTACTTCCTTTGCAGATTTCAGGCTGATTAGCATGTGTAATTTCATCAACAAGGTCTTTACGAAGCTGCTTACACAAAGATTGAAACCACTACTTTCTGACTGATTTCGGAGGAACAATCAGCATTTGTTGAGGAGTGTGATATTGTTGACAACATTCTAACTACTCAATTCCTGGATCATTCTTCCGAATGATTTTTTAAGAGATTATGAGGCGGCAACAGGCCAAAAAATAAACAAGCAAAAAAAGCATGTTTATTACCTTGGAAAGCTACCATTCAAGTATCTTGGTTGTACTTTATTCAAGGGCAGGAAGAAGGCGGATTTTTTTCCCCATCTCCTTGATGCTATGGATGCAAAATTAAGGAATTGGAAAAATAGGTTTTTGTTAACAGAAGGAAGGTTGTTTTAATCAAGCATGTACTCCTTGCATTTCCGGTACATACATTTGCTGCTTTGGTTCCTCCGAGATCAATTATTTTAGTGATGGAAAGGAAATGTCAGAAGTTTCTTTGGGGTGAAATGAATATGGTTCTGGGAGACACTGGCGCGCGTGGAAGAAACTAGTTTATCTGGTGGATGAAAATGGTTTAGGGTTTAGGAATTTGGATGACTTTATCACTGCTTTCTCTATGAAATTGTTGTAGAAAATTCAGACTCAAAAAGGAATATGGGCAGCCTTTGTATCATCATTATCTGAAACTGCAAAAGGGAGGATGAATTGGAAAAGAGTTGAGGAAGTGGATCAGTTGGCTAGACCTCACTGCAAGATATTGATGGAAAATGGATCATCATCATTTTGGTTTGCTACATGGATGAGAATGCACCATATTTGGAATATGAATATCCCTCTGCCAATGGTTAATTTAACTGTTAAAGATATCTTTACTTATAAGTTGTTCTATTTGCAGGAATTTGGTGATGACTTGAACCAAGACATGAAGGATCAACTTGCGCGCATGGAAGTGCTATTCAGCGATAAAGAGGATCAACTACTGTGGATGACAGAACCTTCAGGGAGTTTTTCTATCTCTTCTACTTATTCTTAAATTAGGGGAAAAAAGAAAAGAATTCATTGATTTCTAATTTTTGGCATAAATGTATTCCTTTGAAGTCATCTTTCTTCGCATGGAAACTTTACAATGGAATGCTTCCTTTTCCTGAAGTTTTGCAAAAATTAGGGTTCTGTTCAAAACCCTCTAGATGTCCCTTTTGTATGGAAGAGGAGGAAGATATAGACCATGTCTTTTTTCATTGTTGTAAAGTGAGAATGATTTGGGAATTCTTTTTATGCTAATCTAGGGATTATTGATTCTTATCATGCAGGATGGAGGGATCTAGTGCGTGCCTGGCAAAGGATTGGAAACAATTCTTCAGATTAAAAGATAACAATAAGGGTTCTTCCGGCGTCTGTATTGTGGGAAATCTGGAAGAGTCACAATAAAATGATCTATGATGGTATGGATTTTTCATTTGAGATTATTCTTTAAGATATTAACTCTCATATTTTCAGCATGCTAAGTGTACATAAGCTTAAAGCTCGCGATCCAAGGAAGCAAAAGGTCATAGAAGAAATGTTTCATATTAAAGTTGAGGTGGCTCGAGCAAGGATGTTGCTATCATTTAGATGGCAGCCACCAGACCTGGGAGAAACAACCCTCAGCACAAATAGCTCAACATTAGGGCAACCAGGTTCAGCGGGTTGGGGATATGTACTCAGAGGTGAAGAAGGAAGATTCATTAGGGCTGAAAGCAAGTATATGGGACTAGCAACAAGTATGGAAGCTGAGATCCAAGGAATTCTTAGTGGATTACAACATTGTCGGAAAAAAGGAATAACTCGTGTGGTCGTTCAAACTGACAACAAAGCTACAGCCACCGTCATTCAAAGCAATTGCAATTTTCCATGGAAGCATCATGTGCAGCTAAAGAGGATTCAAAGATTGTTGCATCTCTTAAATTTGAGGATCATCCATGTGTACAGAGAAGTGAATAGCATGGCAGATGAACTAGCCAAAAATGCATCTAAAGGAGCATCAACACAATACGCTACTACAACACATCTCCCAACATCATTGTTTGGGAAATAGTATTTAGACAAGTGCTCCTTCCCATATATGCAGATTAAATAGGTTCTAGATTCAGGTAACCTAGATGAAGATGTCAGGGGATTCATGCATTATCTTTGTAAGACATACTCCTAGGATCTCTAGTTTAGAAGGTGCACTGTTAGGGGATATTAGATTATCTTTGTAAGACTATTCTTAGAATTAATTGCACAAGAATCGTCATGAGTTTTCTAGAAAACTTTGTAAGACGATTATTTTCGTTTGGCTAAGTCTTAAGCACTGCCTTGTGTAACTTTTACTTCTATGTTAATAAAATCAGGGTCCTCCCGCTAGATACCGCTCTGGATTTCCCTGGAAAAAAAAAAGGAGGTTAGTTTATCATTTATTATATTTAGACTTTACTAGACCAGGAATAGTATATATTCTACCTAACAGGTAAACCAATATTTTCAGCAACCTAGAGAGATACACAGTGCAGCATGCATGCATGTCTTCGATATCTTAAAGGTTGCCCTTTATTGGGATTATTTTATAGCACTCGAAATGACTTGCAGCTTCATTCTTTCTGTGATACTGATTGACACAATTGCTTTACCAAGTTCTCCTTGACTGTTTATTGCATTTTCCTTGATTTTGCTCTTATTTCTTTGAAGAAGAAGCAATCTACAAAGAAGTCTACAACTTAGTTTATTGGCTATTTATTGACACAATTGCTTCCGTACAACTTAGTATAGTTTTAGTTTAGTACAGAAGTGTCATGGGGTTAATGTTTAAACCTTTGTAAGATACTCTCTTAGTTTTCAAGTGTTATAAAGAGGTGCCATGGGATTATAGCTAAATCTTTGTAAAGCATCATCTTAGATTAAGCATGTAGAGCTATCATGGGATTTTTAAAAGAATATTTGTACGAAAGACTCTTTTCTATTGGGTAAGTCTTAAGCATTGCCTATGTACTTAATCTTTTTAAATTAATAAAATCGTGAGGATGCCCACCAGGTACCGTCCTGGTTCTCTTAAA